TTGTTTATTTTTTAGAAAAAATATACTCTCATAGTAATTGGTACTGACCATGGAAACAACATATAAAATTAATATGATTGATTTTTTTTCTTGAAGCGAAAATTGCTTTTATACCACAACTTCATTATCTAGAAATCAGCATGATGAAATCTTAGCACAGAGCACACATATGGAGCAGCACAAGTTAAAAATAAATGCATTCACTCTTATTTCATTTGGAAAAGTTGCTATGTGTAACAGGCAGAATGAAAGAAGAGGAACAAGCAGATCTGATCTGCTGTGACAGAACCTAACAGGCTTAGCTGCCTCCTGTACATTGCTGACCACACTGAATAAGCACCATCCAGACTGCTGTTTGAAAGCTTTTAAAAATCCTTTTAAATCTTACAACTTTAATACAAAGGGAGAAGGCTATGCAGCTTGTAGGAATTAACACTTAAAAATGTCTTTTACCCCTGCATGGAACACTTGTCACCTTGTCTTCAGCAGCTAGTTTGTAGAATCTGTTGTTAGTGTGTTCCAGCAGATTGTCTGGCTTGAGACCTTATTTATAAATGCATTCATATGTACAATTCCCCAGCCTTTCATCTGGAGATGACCTTTGAGTTTCTGGAGATTGTCTCAGAAATTATTGCTTCAGATTTCTCCTCAGCGTCATGAAGATGTACCCAGCTGCTACCTTCATGCTTTCCTCAACAGAAAACCTTGTGGAGCTTCTCTTATCCAGATGCAACTCCAACCCAGGCTAGCAGCTTTTCGATTTCCTGTGAAACTGAGCCTGTGGTGTTGAGCCAAAGCAGCGTGCTCTGGGACAGCCCGTGTGGCAGGCCAGCCTGTAGTCCTCATGTACCACGATGTTTTCTGGGTGGGTCTACGACCAGCTTGTTACCTTAGCCAAAAGAGAAGCCGAACAGCACTGGGGCAGAGCAAAACGATGTGTCAAGCAGTATTAAGTTCTCATTCTGGCATGTCTGCATTGCTGGAGCTGATTTGTGAAAAGCCAAAGAATTTGTCTGGTAAGTATGAATTATTGGAGTCAAGGAGTCAAGTTCTTCACTTTGATTTTCACCAGATCTACATGGCTCATCCACAGGGCTTAACTGTTAATGACTGTTCTCAGTAACTGATATATACTTCTCCAAATTATTCCTGCAGTTGTCTTTAAAGGGGCAGATTAAAGCGTGCTAAGCTAGATGGTCTGCACTAATACCTTTTGATGGCTGTGTGGACACCAAGATGTAGGTAGGAATTAATTGCTGAGGGACTGCACCTGCACACAAGGATACCCTGCACCTACAAATACATTCCTCAGGGCTTGCATAGCTCTGTGTTAAGAGACTTGGCAGATTCAACACCTTCACAAGGAAATTCTAAACAAAAATTCTGCTTCAGTTACTTATACTATGAGCATATTGCAAGTTACTTTTCCTTTCTTTTTAAAGAACTGTGCTGAACTTGGAACTAAATAAATAACAAAAAAACCCAAAACCACCAGGTGGGTAAAGATCTGTTAGAATGAAATTGCAATTACTGTAAACTACTGTCACACTTCAAATATTTCTAGTTCCCGCCTTCTTATTTTATTTCTTTCGATACATAATGGACTTATTCAGTAAGTGAAACAGACTGTTTTGGCAACCCATTGTGTACTTTGTTTTCTCTAACTTTTTGTCTGCTTTTACATCTTGACACTTTACCAAGGAGAGGTATGGGGAAAACCTTCTTTCAGACTACTTTTCATTTCACTTGTTGCAAATTATTTGACAGGCTTTGTTTGTCTGAAGTGCATCTCCAAGTTCATTGTAATGGGTACCAGAGTCCTTGACAGCGTTGGTAGGTAAAACATAAGGTGTCTATGGGATATTTAGATATTCAACAATAGTTTCTGAAATTCCAGATGTAACTTTGGCCACACAGCATTCCTCTTCTTCCTATAACATCTTACAGTTTTACATGCATTCTCCTTTTTTCCTCGCAAGGCAATATAAAACTACTTCCCCAATCTTTTAAATGTCAAAGATGCACACTGGGAATAACACAGGAAAAGGTTTTATTTAAAATAGACTCAGCAACACTGAGGTAACTGATGTTTTATTATGTTGCCTGGTTGAACTAAACCTAGAGCAAATCATGCAGGAAGATGAATATGTTTTAAAGGCCTTTGAGAACAATGATTATTCTTCAAATGTATCCTAGCTTCAGAAACATGCCTAAAAAAATAATTTTTTTATTTACGCAGAAAATACATAAAGTGTTCATTATCTTTTAGAAAAGTTTCTTTGCTTGCTTTATATGTGAGCCAAAAAACTTATCTGTGTATTTGCACCTGCCTAAATACTTCATAAACTCTCCTGCTATAATTTTGATGGTTTCCAAGCTCAGGTTGATGCTTATAGTCAGTTTCACCGATATTCAAGAGCATGCATTTATATGTAGCTTATATGTCACAGCTGTCTCCATGTGTAGGAGATGAAGCAAGTCTCTATCCATACATTAGATATTGTGTCCATCACTTAAGTTTCAGCATGCCATTGCGATGGATTATCTTAGCACAAAGATGCAAATAATATCCCTTCAAGATGTTTCATGGCTGAGCTCCAATCACACAAAGCAACATATCCTTTTAGTTACTGCTATCATATTTTCTTTTTCAGTATCCATTATGAACTTTTTCCATAAGTCAACATATTTCTTCTCTCCCTGAACGATACAAAATAGTAAGAGAACAATAGTTTCCGAGGTTAAAAGAGTACTAGACGTGGCTACGTGTTTTAGAGCTTTGTTGGATATGCGTAGAATGTGTGCTTTTTGTTTAAATGTTCTTAGTTTGAAAGAGTGAGATGGATTGCATTTTCTTCATTACTGTCTTTTTGGTGCATCTTCACATAGGAATGTGTTCGTCTCTTGGGAAGTTGGCAGTGTAAGTGACTGAAAAACTAGCTAATAAATCTGGGATTAATAGGGCTGTAGACAGCAAAGAACACAGCGTAGGAAGGATCACCAGCCACTGAATGCTGCACATCTAGAAACTGTCAATAGAGAGTATGAAAAATGCAAAGGACAAAGCAAAACTAACAGAAGTTCCGGCTCGTTTTTTCTGCTTGCTGAAGCAATCTCTCACATCAGTGTATCCTGGTTCCCTAGGGAAGAGTTGTTCTTAGGGGCTTGATCTTGCTTCTATTCACAGCTGAAGAAAGTCTCCTTTTAACCTAAAGTGGGTAGGATCAAATCATTAATGATTGTCTCTCCAGAAGTAAAACCAGCAAAAGTAACAATGCATCGTGATACACCATACTCTGTATACAAAGTAGCTCTCTATTCTTGTGTTAAAATTTGTTCAGATTTAGAGGTATTTAGAGATGGGTATTAGATCTTTAAAGCTGATTTTTCCAGTTCTTTTAATTAGTGGACCAAATGACAAATACAGCTGTTGTACACTTGTAGTATTGAGGACAAATCCTATCTGAGGGGGAAAAAATGTGAAGAAATTTTCTGTGCGCTGAATTAAATCTCTTGAACTCGATTGTGGCCTAGAATGTAAGTAAACTAGCATGGTGCTCTTGAATTCAGTGGAGCTACACTGGTGGCTGTGGTTGATAATAATTGAATAACGCAGTGAAATTCCTTGTTTATTAACATGAGGATAAAACAAGAAAGGGAGAAAAGCTGCTACATTTCTTCCAAAACTAATCAAAGAAATGAGAACTGCTAAAGATTTGCATCTTTGATGTACTCTTCTTTTACCCAAAACTGCCATAAAAAGCAACAAACAAACCTATGAACCTCAGAAGACCATGGGTACACAGAATTCTTTCTGGTTGGAAGGGCAATGTGAAGGGAGGTACTCATGATGTAAGGCAAGCATAGCACCTTGTTTACTATTGCATAAATAATCCTGGTGATTGTAGACTGAATGAAGTGTGTGGTTAAGTGGCGATGCTAGGGTTGGACAGGAAATCTTGACCTGTAACATTGTCTGAAGTATTGCTGTTATGATTTGCTCTTAACCAGAGCTGAGGTTCACTGATGGACTTTGTATTGCCATCTAGAAGGTTTCCAGAGTAAACAATGTATGAGGCAGAGTCAGAGCGTTACTGTCTTACTCCAGCAGTGGTGAAAAGAGATTATCATAACAGAGGTGGTTATGCTTCTTTGCACCCTAGGGATTCAAATTCTGTGGCAGGATTAAGATTTGTTTACGTCAGTCTAATTTGGCGCTTGAGTTTTGCTTTCTCACAGCCATACTCATCACTAAGACTTTGTAAAACAAGCAGTAAATGTGCTGATCATGTTCGTGCTGAAAAGTATAGCATACATCTCCACAAACACACACTTGTACAAAAAGACCTACCTTTGATTTAGTGGGATCTGAAGCTTACTGCTCTGGCCTCATCGGTTTTCTGCAGTGGTTCTTTATTTAGGTTTTTTTTTACCTGAATGATAAGAGTTCTCACAACGTGGATGTTGGATATGCAAGAAGTGCAACTTCTAATATTTTCCAATGTTAGCATAAAAAGTTTAGACTCTATGGAGAAAGTGCCAATGCCAGACCTTGCTATAGTTTTCTTTTTAAGCTTAAACTCTTTCAGTGAGCATCAAGTATGGACCCCTGTGTGAGGAGGGAGATGTATTACTAAGCCTTGGGTCTCAGGCAGCATGCTCCTTAGCTTTCCAGAATAGGAAAGTCGCATTTACACTAAGTACTGAATTTACAGAGGCTTTTTATTTCCAATATTGCACTAATACTGAATTTATTTATTTATTTAGAATGCATGCTCCCTCATTTCACTTTCACCTTCTGCAGTGAAGTCATGCTTCTTGTGGCTGTGACCCCAGAATCAGTTGCTAGAGAAATAAATGTGGTGGCACAGATTAAATCACGGATTTCAGCACAGAATTGAGTGCATGGACAAAGGAGAAGATAAGTGCCTTTCTAAAATAGATAGATTTATTAGAAAAATCCATTTGTTTTTGTCAGCTCTGTTTGAACAGATTGTTCTAGAATCAAAATCTCCACTTAATAGAAATATATATATATATATATATATTTAAATTTTGCAGTGATCTTGTGCTCCTGGATCTTGCCTAGTTTCCACTTAAATAAGCTGAGAGGTTTATGCTACTTTCAATGGACTTTGTTTAAAACCTCTGTTAGAAACTCCTCGTGTCTGGCATTGCTAAACTGAGAAGGCAGTATTGAAAATAGGAGTTTGTCATGTAACTCACTTTCAGAGAACCCAGATCCAGAGTGTGCTGGACTCTGCTTATCTATTCTCTCAGCCTCTCTTAAATGCAAAGGGAGATAATCTTTTCCTAGAAGCACTTAGAACAAGATTTTAAACCATGAGTGCTGAGGTATCAGAGTTCCTTTTTACCCAAATATCTGGAAATATGGCCTTCCTTGTGATGTTTCTACACAATTTTAGCACAAATGTAACAATTATATCTGCAAATGAGAAAAATACATTCTGCAATAAGACTTGCCTGGACTGCAAATTAAAATGTTTAAAGAACATCATTCTTTAGTTTTAGGCTCACCTGTAGTGGAATGTGATTTAGTAGATTCCTTGTCTACTTCTTGCTCAGCATTTGCTGTCTAAACATAGGATGTGCTGCTCAGGTCAGTGTGCTTGCTTTCACTGTTAGGGAGAAGATGGCAGCTCTGAAGGGAGCAGGATGAAGCCAAATACTGAACTGCGTGCTGGAGGCTGCTGTTGACTACAGATGGAGTTGAAGTGATCAGCTGAGATCCACTTCTAGATGGGTAAAGCCAGGTGAGATGCATACTACCTCTAGCAAACAAGGAATGTGTTTGGAAGCCTTTCTCTCTGATCTTCAGGAAAATACAGGCTAAGAAGCTGCAGTCCAGCTGTCAGACAGAAGGTTGCATTCTCACTGAAAGTGGGTTTGATACTTAAAGGGGAGATGGATAATTAAGACTTCATCTTCCAAAATATTAAATATTGATTTGTAGACATTTAGAAGCAGGCTTAATGCTCTCCTGAGAACTGGCAGCAACTGTAAAAGATTATAAAAGATTTTAGTTCTCCGTGTAGAATTTAGCATTTATTTTTTGTTTAAAATTTATGAAACGTGGGTAAAATAAATCAGGAGGTAATGTCTGGTCCTCTCTGTGCCTACAAGCCCTGCTGCATGTGACGTGGATGTATGGTGGTTTTTTTTTCTTTTCAGTTTTGTATTGGCTTTTGGTTTATTGAAGTGTCAGGGGGTTTATAAGCTCTTCAACTCCAATTTTTATTGTTTTATCCAACTACTGTCACTTCTTATCAGTATTAAAGGCAGAAATCAAAGCACAGGACCCATGGGAAGCGACGTTTCAAATGTACACCATTGCTTTTCTTTGTCATTGTTCTGAACTATGCACCCTCTGCTCCTGACAGCATACAAGATAAGGAGTTGAGTTCACACTTTGTTAATTCATTTGTGAATTAAACAAAGGTTGGTTTTTTTGTTTTTTTTTTTTTTAAGTTAGAATGTTTTTTTTTTTTTTTTTTTTTCCTCCACTTCCCTATTTCTTTTTTTATGATTAGGGGCAGTTGATGTAACGCAAGAGGCCCTATACAGGACATCTTTGCCTTAGGCAACCACTTCATCTTCAGCCTTCCACTAATTTTCAGTTGGGAACGTACATGCTTGCATCTATTGAAGGAGGCAAAAAAAAAGTATTCTAGAGTAGCTGTTTCTTACAGGTGACTTTCCCTGAGAAAAAATGACCCAGCTTTATTAATTGGGTTAGAAAACCTGGCTCTAAGCATGGAGTGTGTTGCTCTGAGTCAAGGCAAGCAGGTACTGAGCTGCTGTGCATGGGACACAGCCGTGTGGAGAGTTTTATCTGCGAGGTTACTTGGATAGCTGTGCCTCTGCAGGAAGGAAGTAAGTTGAAGAGGAGTTGTTAAGAACTTTTTTTGCTTTTACCTTTTCTTTTCAGCTGTCTGTGTGATGGAAACAAAAATGAATTTTACCAGTTCATTGTATTTGGTTTAACAAGTATATTGAATTTAAGAGATGACATTTTCTGCGTTTTCTTCACAGTAGTTTCAAGTTGATCAAATCCATTTCAGATTGTTCCCTAGCTTATGCAGACTCACTATAAATAAGTGTAAACAAAACGTGTGTTCATTTTACCACTGGCTCCATTTATTAGGTTTTAAGGGTGCGTTTCCACTATGCCATCAAGTGCTGTGAAGGGGGGAAAAAAAGGAAGAGCAGTGAGAGAAAATCTATTTGAGAGTAAATAGTCTCTTTGCATATGTGTTTATATAGGTATATGGGTTTACGTGGGTAATGGCAATGGCACTGATAGAGCAGACCTGTTTTAGCATTGCAATGACAAATCAGATGACACGCTTCAACAACAAAAAAAAGAAGTTTGTTGGAGGCATGATTATTTCCTCTCTACAGCAAATGGAAAATTGACTGAGACGAGAGAAAAAAGCAAGTTAAGGTCCAAATTGAAACACTAAGTTATATACGTGTGGCAAGTAAGAAGTAATTAAAAAAAAAAAAAGACCTCACTAATTTTAAAGGGAAGAAAGGAGAGTTAATACAATTAAACTCAATGTTTAAATCTTACTTAAAACTCTGCAATTGTCAGAAGCAGATATTTCATTACAAAGATGCTGCAGTGGCGCAATCAGGGGGAAAGGCATTAAGGCAAGGCAGGCAAATCTATACATTCACACATTTCATATTTATTTTTAAATAAGCATACAGGATATTTTTAAATCCTTGGAATTAAATTAAATTCTTTACCTTCTTTGACTATTTCAGCTGGGGTATTGAGCCAAGAGGGAAATATACTTCATGTTATTTTCATTTTGACATTTTTATTGTCAAATGTTGTGCACTGAGTTGAATTTTGTTGTGCTCAAGTTTAGATATTTGAATCTTGAGGTCTTTTTATTCATCCTGTCATCTGTCATTGATGTAACTGACTTCTGTGACAGCACTGACAGAATTTATCCAAGAGTTTGCTTGATGATACTTTATAAAATCAAATATAAATAAAAGGGCCCATCATCTGGGGGATATGGAATTGGAATCCAGTGGGTGTTGATGGTTCACAGTTTTACAAAGAGCTATTCAGGAACTCACCCAACCACTTCTTACAGATTTATCTCTTTTTGTGTATGACCATGTTCATATTCCCTTCAGGTCGAGGTGCAAAATGTCATGTTTTTTCTTTTACTTTTCTTGTTCTTTCTTTCCAAAGACCTGCCACATGATCAAATATGTACCTGCATTTTTTTCCATGACATTTCAGAAATACTAAATATTGTATTCTGGTGATAATGCTTTCCCAAGAAGGAAGGAGATGGCCCATTTAATAATGTATACTTCATTTACAGCATGGAGTGTTAGCCAACTACTCGTGATGATACCTCTTCCAGACATAATACTGTTATATGCAGTGTTCTGACTACATTTTTAAATAGAACAACAACTGAATGATACATTCAAAATAATTCATGGAGAAGAAATAGAAGTATTTCAGCATGGGAGAATATTTATGCATTATTTAACAGCAATAATGTTTGAATTCATACATTATGCAAATGCCGTTGTAATCAGGAAAATGAAAGAACTTGGACTGCTGCAGCATCTTTAAATCTACCATTAGGTACTTATTTGTGCATATCATTTAATACTGCACAGCGTTACAGTATGTCACTTGAAGAGAGTTATCAGAGACCAACAGGTTATAGAAAATAAAGCTGATGAATTCCAGATTGCTACTTCGATGCTAACGCCTGTAAGTTTATCAGCAAACAAAAGTGAAGGTTTTAATGGTAATTTACGTAAAACTCCTCTTGTGGAGATAAGTTACTGGGGTTTTACTTGCAGTTCACATTTTGCATTGTGATCCTTGCCTGTGCTCACCCACACACAACAGACCAGCAAACAGTGTGGGCTGACACAGAAAGAAAATTCTATTTATTTTCTTAATGTATCAGCAGCTCAGTCCCTAACTATCAAAACCAGCATGCCTGCTCATCTAATGCCAAATAGCTTTGGCTTAGTCTCCTATTGTCTTCAAGATAAAGTATAAAAATATCAAATAGCCTCTATTTCATGAAAGGCTTTTATAGACCTTCCTTCTTACTACTTAAATGAATTTTATCTTTGCTTAATTAAATATAGAAAACTCATGCATACATGTGTGTACTTGACTGCAGCATCCTTGAGTCACTTTTCTTGTATGTACCATTCTTCGTGATTTTGCAGTTTGAGTGTGCTTACGTGTCTTCCGTGGGAAGAGGAGCAATGGTTTGCCATGAACACTGCCCACCAAATTGGAAGTAAGTGTTGCATTGAATCTTATTTATTTCTCCTACCAAACTTTATCCATTTTTAGTGTTTTGAGAGGGCAGATGAATGAAGAAGGAGCTTCATAAACAGCCATTGTCTCTGCCAGGTGCCTTCTTGCCTTTTAGATCAACATTTGGGAAAATGCTACCACAAGCAGTCCCAAAGATTCATAGTGATGGAAGGTTTTTCCCCTGTAGTCCATGAGTGAACAAAATTTTTTCCAAAACTGTGTTACAAAACACTTAATTATTATTAGTATTTCTGTTAATGATAACACTGAGAGCAAATAGAATTGAAGAACATCTGTACAGAAGTGAACAAACCATTTTTAAATGAAAGTGGCCCATCGCTTGTCATGGAGTTATTTACAGAAACAGTTAGTGGAGATAAATTTATATTCTGATTTCTATGTTTTATGGCAAGCAAGAAAATTTGCATGCATATGCCATCAATCCAGCATGTCTCATAAACACTATATTCATGTAATACCTCAGAAAATACTGAACAGATCTTCCTGCAAGTGAGTGGCATTTGGACTCAGTTTGGGTACTCACCAATTTGAATCCAGTCCACAGCATGGAATTTTTACTGTGCTAGAGTCTTCCAGAAATTACTACTTTTTGTGGCAGGCTGGATGCAATACAGTTTGCTCCTCCATCACAAAGACTGTGCCAGGGCTTCTGTTGTAAAATCTCTTACTAACAAGAAAACACAATTCAACCAATATATTATGCTCCTGACTAAGAATTGGCATACAAAAATTCATCCTGGAAATTTTTACTAGTGGCAAACAATAGTAACTTCTCAGAGTGCAAAATAATGCATGAACTCCCTTTTGCTGAGTGTTAACTAATTTTTATGGCATTGTAGTAATCAGTTGTTGTAAAGCTGGCTTGGAAAAGAGAGGGACAGTAAGATACAGCGGGCACCAGTGCTGCAGTAACAACATGTACTCACTCCAGTGCCAACTGGAGATCACCAGCTGATGATAAGGGCAGCCCCAAGAAATGGGAGTGTCCTCATTTCAGCTGGAAAAGAGCTGATTTTTCCTTTGGAGTATCTGGTATGATTTGCTTGAAGAGAAAAACAGTGTCAATAATACACTGATCTTTCAGTGTGCTGAGAAGTGCTATAAAGGACCAAGCATGTTGCAGTTACTGAGCTTCTATTGTCATGACAGTGAGGTGCTGAGAGGGGACAGAACCAGGGCAACTGACCTGAACAGGCCAAAAGGGTATTCCAGTAAGCTATGGCATCATGGAAAGCAAAAAAAAAAAAGTGCACACACACAAACATGCAAGTTCTAACCAGAGGAAGGGTGTGCTTTGCTAAGAGAACACACCCTCTTATTGCAAAGTTATGAGCTATTAAGCTGGGAATACTACATTTCTGTAAATTTAGAAGAGGGTCTACTAAATGATGACCACAAATTGTACAAAGCCAGAAAAGACTGTGTAACTTGTTTGAGATATTGTTTAGCAGTTGAATAGAATGCCTGCATGTGGAAAAGGATCTCCAGGTTGTCTGCTTTCCTTAGGTCGCCTTTTTTTCTTTCTTTCTTTTTATTTTTTTATTTTATTTATTTATTTATTTATTTATTTATTTGGAGAACTATCATTTTTCTTGCTCCCAATAGTTTCTGATTGTACTCAGGACATGCTCCAAAATCCACTAAAGTCAACAGAAAAATTACCTGGTAGCCCCCAAACACAATTTCTGTGATTCCTCCTCAAAATCGTCAGTATCCATCCCCAGTGTGCCAGAATAATTGTGTAAAATTAGCTCTGATATGAAAATTGGCACTGACTTCAAAAGATACCCCAGTGAAACATGGTAATTTTTGTTTAAAGCATGATCTTAATGCATGTTAAGTTCCAAGCTGATAGCTTACATATTCTTATAGTGAATAAATAAGTGTATTTATGTATTCCATAATGTAATGGTAATGTATCTCCCATATGACCATCTGACATTGTTTCTTCTAGGAAGATATAATGAATCTTCTCTGCATCACAAGAAAAAGGCTACTCAATCTTAAGACAACATTTTAATCTCAGTCAAAAAGGGGCATCTTCAACATAAGGCTGTCTGCAGTCATGGTGTGGCTTTCCTAACTTTGCTATTTCCTTTGGGCTTTATTTAGAAACACTTTAGCAACACTTCCTAAAACATGCAGATGTTGAGGCTTCTACTAACAGCATTATTAAGATAGCATCTTAATTCTTTTTTCTTTGGGGGCAATATGTTTCTCTTCCAGTTTATTATGGCAAACGCTGTAATTTCCACTTCTTTCAGTGTCTGAAGCTTTCTGCTTTAATAAATGCACATATTAGATGCTATTCTTTCTCAGCTTGATAGGTGTATAGTGTCAGAAAAAAGAAGGTCACAGTGATGTTAAATTTGCTGCTGAGTAAAGGATCAGAGTGTAAATGAAATCTTGAAAGATGGGAAATGAGAATGTGCAAGTGTAAATAATGTATTAATTATTGACAGCTAAGGGACCAAAGACTCCTATTTAGTAATGACATCTTCATTGTCACGCTGCCTGACAATATCTCAGGTATTTTTACTTTAATAAAAGGTTTTCCCCCCAAGACAGTAAGTATTTCAATTTTCCTGTGTAGCTTTATTGATATTTTTTATTTTCTTTGGCTTTTCTGTATCTTACTGTATTCTAAGTCCTTGATTCAAAAGGGAACTGGGGGGGGTAGTGAATTCCCCCCGGCAAGAGATCTTAGTACAATACAAAATATTTTTTGGTATAATAGATCACAATATTGAGGTGCAAATGGAAATTCCTTGTTGGTTGTTTATGAAAGTTAAAATACAGTTTAGGCAGAGATGTGGGTTAGGTAAGGGCTTGGTTTTGTCAGCAGGACTTTATGGTAATTACTTGTGCTTAGTATGCTGGAAGCTGAATTGCTTTCATTGTGGCTTCCCACGGTGGTCTGCTTTGCTACCCCAGCTCACTGGAGCCCACCTGCAGGCAGCCCGGGGCTGGGGAACCCTCTGTGCAGTGCCCTGGAGGACAGAAGGTGCTGCTGAGGGTTGGGGTATAAAGCAAAAGGAGAGGTATCTACTGCAGGTGCTCTCCAGCCCACTGATTGCATTTTCTCTGTCCTTTTGGAATAGAGCTGGGTGACTGTCGAATCCTATTATCTGATTAAAAAAAAAAAAAAAGAAAGGCAGGTTCTGGTCTGTGGAATTATTTAGCACGTTTCTATTTAATTAATTGTCAGAGATAAATTCTTGCATGTGGGAGGATGGGAAAAAAAACAACAACAATCAAAAGAATTCTAGTTCATTGTTTTCAAAACATTGTTTTGATGGAATCAGAAAGACTGTTCATCTGAAGAAGTTCAATTTCTTTGCTTAACAGATATTGAAGTTTTTACATGAGATACAACTTATGAAACATTTGCCTGAGATTTCCCATGTGTCAGTTGCACACAGCCCAGCTGTGTTTCCAGCCGACAATGCTGCTTACCTGTGGAGCAGTGCAAGTGTCTCCTGGCCCGTGGTTCTGCTGCTGAGCTGTGTAGGGAAATAGCCATCTTGTTACAGGGTGCTCCCACCTGCATAGCCTGCTTCCAAGGTGTTACTTGTAGGTGTTGACACCACTAGGAGAAAATATGCTTCCTATTTATGTAAGTCTGTTGTTTCTTACAGGGCATGTCTCAAACGTTAGCAAACATCATATTTGATGCTTCTTCCTCTGCCCAAGAATATAACTTTATCAAAAGGAAATTTCCTACTCATTTGAGCAGTCTCCATAGCAACAGCGCTGTACACCTGTGATGTATGGGCACAAGCTGTTACAACCTATGAACTAGCTGGAGTGAGCTGTGCCCCACCCCCTGCCAAAGCCAGAGTACGTCTCCCATGTATCCATGGCACCTGGTTCTCCGTGGTACGTATCTGCAGTCCGTGCGTAAGATTGTCGTGTTTGGAATCGGTGCACTTACATTTAGTAAATACAAACAAACACGCCGCTTACATGAAGTTATACACTTGCAAATATTCAATGTGTTCCTGTCCTGAGGGAGGACTTTATAATGCAAAAATTATACAAAAATAAAAGCTCATGCTTACAGTTGCTTCTGTAAGAGTTTCCTAATTCAAAAAATTCATAAAGTGCCTCACTCTTGCAGATCTGTCAACCTGTTAATAGTATATCATTAAAAAGAGAATAAAGCAACACATGCTGAATTATTTAAATATCGTTCTAATAGTAAACTGGAAGTAATTATGCACCTTTGGCTATCAATATTGCAAAGAGCCTGTTGCCGTTCACTCTGTAACTTTTAGTGAAATTGAGCTCACTAGTAAGAAACAAATGGTTGCATTTTAAAGAAACCCCAAATTATTTCCCCAGGTCATTCATAAGGTAGGTCATTACGCAGAAACATTTTCTTATGCAAAGGAAGGAGAAAAAAAAAAAAGCAAGTAGCTTACTAATGCAATGGAAATGGTGTTTGGAGCTTCCTGAGTTTATTAGCTTATTTAAGAGGAGGCAAATCACAAAGAAGATGCTTGTTTGAAATACATGCTGTATGAAACCCTACATAATCATGGGCATTACTCTTCAGCGTATATATATAGCTAAGCATAGTGCTTCCTGCCTGTTCCTGTGTTCTTGTGTGTGTCTGTGTGTTCTCATCTTCATCTTTACTCTCAGATTTGCCTTCGTTTCGTTCTTGATTTGGTATTGCCCATTACTGAATGCAGTCAAGCAAGAAGCGAAAGGAGTGAAATATGATGGAAGATGTGTGCGTATTTTCAAAACCGATAACAGGCTGCCTGATTATTTTTTTTTTAGTATCACTCTGTGCTGCAGTGTGCTTTTTTTTTTTTTTTTTTTCCCCCCCCAGTTTTATTACACTTCACATTTTTATGCCAGTGATTGTAGGCTTTCTGCTCAAAGAGCAAAATCTCTTGTCCTTGTTTGGCAAACAGAGTGGATAATATTGTTCTCCTCTTGTTGGGGAAGGAAGTCGGGCTGGTGACTCACATCACATAGGCTTACAGCCATTGAGGCAGTTTGGTTATGGTTGGGGACTGGAAGGGAATGGAGTTTTTGCCAGCACTTTAAGGATAGAAGACAACTATCTCCCATTATTCTTGTTTTTTTATAATAACTGTTTTTTTCCTCAAGTGTAATTGTTTTCAGGTTTTCTACTAGGAAATATCTGTCTTTTATAAGCTGCTAATACTCTGCTTTAGGCAGAACACAGTGCTTGGAGCTTATGGAGCCTGATTTCAGGGAAACTAGCAGCATTATTGATTTTCATTGGGCTTATTAGGATCAGCGTAACATGCACTTTTGCTATACTAGATTGTATTTGGCTTTCATCATGAAATCTCATTACACTAAAAAGAAATGGAAACAAGTTATGCAAGTAAAAGATTTTTCAGAATACTATAATGAAATTACTTTGCATCTGTGAAAACACGCTTCGGATGCAGGTCGTTCAAACGCTGAATGCTTCTGGTTAGATTCTGCTCTCTTTAACTTTTGAAAATTAAGAATAGAATCTCCAGCATTAGTGGAATTATTTCAGATTCATGCTAATGTAAATGAAGATCTAGCTCGGTCCTTGAGGTAGTCATGTTGTCTGAATCCTGAGAGTGAATCAGTGGGTTCCCAGGAAAAAGAAGCCCCACTTGTTTGCTTGCAGCTAGGGTGGAATGTATTATAGCCTTACAGAGATGTGTGAATTGCCTGTAGTGTCAAGTGCATGCTCCTTGTAAACCCCAAGCCAGGATGAGCAATGGACAATAAGCTCGTTTTCACCCTTTTGTTACAGCAGGGCATTGGCTTGTTGCAATCTGTCTGATGATGGCAGAGGAGGCATGAGCTGGCAGCTCAGCATTGGCAGCAAGTTCACAGATTCTACTCCCATTTGCCAGGGCTGCACTGGGAGGTAGCAACGCCATCCTCCTGCATGGGGTAGCAGCAGGCCTGGGGGACATCTCCATGGGCAGACCTTGTCTCATGGTATGCTGAGCCACTTCACAGGACTGAGGAAGAGACTTTTGTTCATTGGCTTTATTCTTTCTTTTTTAAGCACTTTAAATTGGTGAAATGGAAAACATTTTCCCCAAACCTATAGTTATTCTCTAAGAATGTCTCGAGATCCTTGGGCTGTCAGGAAAAAATATCCCCTGGCTTGTTTTGATGGTGTCTACTAGAATTTCATATGTTTCCTAGTGACTAGGATGATATTATTTTTGGAAATGTTCTAAATTTGATTAAAGGCAAGTTCTTTTGAGAAGGTAGAGAAAATTAATTTTGAAGAAATATAAAAGGTTATATTCAAGCTTCCTTTTCAAATTCATTAGCACACTTCAGATCATTGAGAACAATCTACGTAAGGAACCAAAACCAGCAGGCAGCACTCAGTTATAAACAGTTATACAGATTAGATGTCAAGAAGCACAAATTCAAGATACAAAGCTGCAGCTTCAAAGTTGCCTAGAGAATCACCTACACTTAGCATCAGTCTTTGTATACCCAGTTTTTGGGTAGATTTGAGTCCTTCCCTTTTTTTTCTTTTCTTCTTTTTTTTTTTTTTTTTTTAAACAGAGAAACTTTTGTATCTTTAATATCCTGGGATGGATTGATCATGTTTTAAGCTGGAAAGCTCTTTTCATAGTTTTTCAAACATAAAAAATAGATTCCTATAGGGGAAGGTCTCCTAAATATACCCATGATTGTCTTATTTGTGAAAGGGGTTTTCAACCTGCTGACCACACTGCTTTATGGAAAAGAGATCTCTTCCATTGTTGTAAATGACACTTTCCTCTAATGCTACAGAATAGTAATAAAAAGTGCCTAATCCATCTGATTGTCCAGCAGTCCAACGGTTTCCTATTGGACTTGGCAGACTAAATGAAAACAATTAGTAAGACATTTCAAGTAGAGACTCTCCTGCAAATACTCACATTCATGGATTTTAATATTAAAATAAAAGAGAGAATTGCACATCAAAAGAGAAGTTATCTCATTTGCTGGTGCAGCTCAGGGAGACCTATTGCTAATGTGTAGCAGGTGAGATTTAGTTCTCTAAGTGCAGGTAAGGACTTCATTCAGATCTCAGCTTTAGAGTCAAATTAACTGAGTGAAGAAAGCGTCATCTTTCTGACCTCTTTCCAAACAAACGCCACAAAAAGCTGCCTGAAATAAGGTAGCTTACTAAGGCGATGGTAACAGGTGCTATGGGTAGCTGCTGGGATTCTGTTTAATATTAATCTAAAATAATTTAAACACCATCTTAATAGCCTTATTTTATGTCTCTTATCTTGATTTTAAAAATTGGAGCATTCCCCTCAGTGCAGTTAATAGGGTCAGTCTGTGAGCCTGTGCTGGTTACCATGCCTTCAGTCATGTGGAATCCAAACAGCCATTATAATTTGTTTCTAAACAGATCAAGAGCTATTTACCATCTCAATGTTTTGTGCACAGCTGGGTGTCTGGCAAACATCCAATATCCATTAACATTTAAAAATTAGTCCCATAATGCATCTTTTCTGTGGCTTGAGGAGTATACACACTGACACATGTTGGGAAATATATTTGCACCACCATTAGTCTGGCTGCATTCAACTTCCCAGTAAATGAGGGCTAATTTAGTTTCCAGAATGGTGTATCTTAAATTCATGCAATGACCTTAGAGAAAGCAGAGTATCTGAAGATATAAAGAGGAAGGAAATGTTCAGAAAGAATAATGCTTCCTTTTTTCTACCAAAAACATAAGAGTGTGTTATTATATATTCCCAGCATCCATGCCTGTCCCTGAAAACCAGATTTCTCTAATTCAATACTTCTAAAATTTGTAAGCAGGATTTATGTAAGAAGGAATCAGACCGATACAGTAAACTCCAAGACCTCCTTGCCCAGATCAAACCTGCTAATGGATCTTTTTACAAAAGCAATTGAAGGCCTGCCTGTAGCAGGTCTGACTCTTTGTGTTGCCAACTAGTTTTAAGTGTTCTATTTCCCACCAGCAAGAGAAAATAAGTAATACAGGCTTCACAGTAAGTGCTACCTACGCTGCTTGTAAAATATATTATAACAATGCCATAAAAATGAAGTGACCTCCACAAGTAGCAGTTTGGCAAAGAGATTTAATGAAAACAGAGGAATTCAAAAATATTTCCTGAGAATTATAGTTTGCCAAACCTCCACTGCCATGATAAATTCCTTCAATAATACCAGGGGTGAAATGGGGTGTATAGTTTGGCTGGTGTGTAAGTGAGAAGAGGGATTTTCAACACCTTTCCTTGCAGTGTGTCTCTGGGCAATCAGGTTCTAGACTGATGGGCTGCTGCTGACTGCTGCAAAGTGCTGCACCAAGCTGAGCTCAGCTCGCTTCATCTGTGTCACGCTGCTTAATAAAACTAAATTGCTCCTGCAAACAGAACACTGCTCTGCAGCCTTGTGGAGTTCAGACATGGATCAAAAATGTAATTGTTCCTCAGAATTCCTCAGAAGTTAAAAACTCAGGAAAACAGGACTTAACTAACTGGGCATAAAGCAATCCAGTGAAGCAGGGTCTGAGTGATGAGTGTGTGCTTCCTGCTGCAGCGGTGAGCACTGAGGTACCTGTCCTCCTGGTACCACTGTCGAAGCAGAGCAGCTGAAGGAGCCTGGCTAGTGTCAGGCTGCAGGTTGATAAGTGAGTTTATGATGGCTTAATGTGTAAAAATATTTACATACCTTTACCATGCAGTATTTATATGTGTAAACAACTTCTCACATTAAGTCAGTACAGTTCAGAGCTGGCCTTTGTCAGGTACTGCATCAGCACTCTTTTTCCTCTTTTTGGTTTGTGCAAGAAGTAGCTTTTTGATGAAACGTCTCCTTGCAGATGCTCTGTTGAAACCATTCATTGTGCAGTTAGT